AGACGGACAGACGGACGTGACAGCACCCCAGTTGCCAGGGCACTTGGCTGCATAAATCACTATCCCGTATATAAAGCCAAAAGGACAAATCTGGTGACTGGAGTGATATGTGACTGCTGTTTTCTCAGGACAGTTCATTACTGGGATATAATCCAATCAGGCCAACATTTATATGTGATCATCCAATCATACTCAAAGACAACTGAGAACAACAATGCCATTGTTCCTTGGAGCTTATTACTACGCTAAAGCCAAGTGAGCTTCCTCGCCCCACCCCCGCCCAGTGACGTGTACTCTCCTTGGCCCCTGTTCTATTAATAAGTGAGAGAGATTCTTTAAGACAGTGCATACTGCCTGCAAATATTCTGTGGTAATAAACAGCAAAACCATCACCGACGTATGATTTCTGGACAAAGTAAATCACAACCACGAAATTTAAGAAATTCAGAAAATTTAGCAATGCCCGAACTAATTTTAATTTTAACCAAGCTCTGTTTCCGCACATTTTATAGAGGAATGGCCCACAGAGAACTTTATCTTTAAAAAGCAGATGACTAACCAGTCCCCAAATATGAGGTTTCAAGGACTGAGGAGGGTGATGATGCAATGCCAGCAGCCTTTCTTAATTCCCTAGCTTCTGTGGAATATCAGCTCATGCCAGAACTTGACTTTTTTTTTTTTCCTTAATTTTAAAGGATATTGTCAAATAAAAATAAAGCTATTTTACAAAAATACACAAAGCAGCACCACACGGCCCTTCCTCAGGCTGTAACACTACTAGCTGAAATATTTATAGGCACCTGGATCAGAAATACCTACACGTTTATAACCAATCATTTTTGTTGAAGGAGTGAATTAGGTCAGTGCCCTTAAGAAGCTCCCCTTCAGCTCTATTTTCCACTCTCCAAACAAAGAAAACCTTTGTGCATTGTATTAGCCACTGTAAACTGTTTGGACATCCATTGTTAGTCCTGGCCGACTGGATAAGTCTGGCGAAAAAGAGATAAAACAGGAGATTCTGTCAATATATTTCTAGCACATTCAAATTTAAGCAAGCTTCGCACAGAACCAGCTCACTCTAACTGCTAAACAAGTGGCTGAAATGAAGTTACTGTTCATGCTTATCTTGGCCCTTAGAATATATGCTTTCCTTATCGCTTCAAATTTCTCTGAAAGGAGTCTTCAGAAGTAGCACTGTAGATAGAAGCCTAAAATAAAATATTAATCAATAAATTGCTTGGCCAGTCTGCTTCTAGCTACTTTCCTGAAAGCAATAATAGTAAGGTCCCTAATCAGTCAGGGTCATAGGGAAAATTATTCGAGTGAGAGAGAAGATTCACAGACATTCTAAAATAAGAAAAACTCAGTTCTTTCCACATGAGACAGCATTATAGGGAGGATTTTGCCAAAATTGAGGCTATATTTTTAAATGTTTCAAGAACAATACGTTACGGCTCGTACTTCACAAATAAGTAGAAGTAGGACAGACACTATTGCCAATGTTTTGGTAGACTAGAACGTGCTGTCAGCATGAGATTTGAGGCACAAAATAGGATAAAGATTGAATCTCTTACCATTTAACTTGTCAAAAGATAAAGAAGACAGAGGGAGGAAAAGGGGACATTCTCTTCAGCCCATCTATAAACCGGATTTATATATCACCTTTTACTTTATTAAAAACTAACAAATCAGGGGAGGGATAAATTAGGAGTTTGGGATTAAAACATACACACTACTATATATAAAACAGATAACCAACTGTATAGCACAGGGAACACTCAATATCTTATAATAACCTATAAGGAAGAGAATATTAAAAAAGAGTATATATATTTATATATATGTATAACAGAATCACCTTGCTGTACACCTGAAACTCACACAACATTGTAAATCAACTTTTTTTTTTTTTTTTTGGCGGTACGCGGGCCTCTCACTGTTGTGGCCTCTCCCGTTGCGGAGCACAGGCTCCGGACGCGCAGGCTCAGCGGCCATGGCTCACGGGACCAGCTGCTCCGCGGCATGTGGGACCCTCCCGGACCGGGGCACGAACCCGTGTCCCCTGCATCGGCAGGCGGGCTCTCAACCACTGCGCCACCAGGGAAGCCCTCAATAAAATTTTTTAAAAATTAAAATAAAAACAAATAAATCAAAATGACTTCAAAAAGAAAATACTCATTAAGTTTCATAAAGTTATACGTAAAAGCAGCAGCTCTTAGAATCAAGTCACTTCTCAGTCTGTATTAACTTGTAGGCTAGCAAACTATAATTTCTCAAGCTTACTCATACAGAAAAGTACCAAGAATCACAGAGCAGTTGAGAATCTGAGGCCCTTCAGAGAAACAATACCTTATGTGACAGGTAGGACTTATGGTAGCATCCACACTCCAGCAGGTGATTATAAACTCAAAGGACTGATTTCTATAATTCTGAACACGAATTATAGAAAGCAGTCCTCAGTAATAATGATGATACAAGTAAATTATAACCACTGCCATTAAATTGCCACTGCAACCCCAGGAGGCATCTATGCCTTTTGTTTGCTGGCACTCAGCTTCCCCTAGTCCCAGAGACCAGAAGCCCCCAATCCCTTTGCCAACAGGGTACCAATGAGGTGCAAGTATTTATTTAAGATCTAAAAGGATGAAGGGAAGCAGATGCCATTTGTTTTCATTTTCCTGTAGCAGCAGTCATAGGCAAACACTGATTTCCCAGACCTGAGCTTTGCAGCTACCTCCAAGCTCCCTATCATTTCAGCCTCCTCTGGGCTACAGAGGCTGAGACGGTAACAGGGTTGTTTGGAGGTCCTGGCTCAGGGCAGCGGCAGCTTTCTAACTTTCTAGGGGGCAAATCAGAGACTAGCAATGGGCCCTTCTGCTCTGTAGGCACCTAATTCTCTCCATTAAGTTTCATTCTCCTTGAACTAGCTAGAATGACGTCTGTTTTCTTCACGGAACCCTGACCCAGAGGGTCTGTAATGTCCATTTCACAGCTGAGAAAACCGAACCTGAGAGAAGTAAATTGCCTAAGGCCAAGCAAGTAAGCGGCAGGACAAGAAGAATTCACACCCAGGTCTGCCTGACTTCAACATCACAAAATGAAAGTTAAACACAGAGTGAAAGGTAAGCCTATCTCCAACCCATGATCCAGCAATTCTACTCCTAGGAATTTACACAAAAGAAATGGGTGCGTAAGCCCACAGAACAAGCTATAGGTGATTTTCATAGCAGCTTCATCCATAACAGAAACAAAACAAAAACCTGACTACAACCCAAATATCCGTCAACAAAAGAATGGATAAACAAAACTGGTAAATTCATACAAACGGAGTATTTACTACTCAGCAATAAAAGAAAAGTACTGAATTGTATAACAACACAAAGGTTACTCTGAGGAAAGAAACCAGACACCAAATGCTGATTTCACTTATACAGATCCTCTCAAGGTGAAGCAAGGCTATAGGATGGTGAGAGATGGCAGGAGAGAGGTACCCTTGTGGGTGGGGTGGTGAACAGTCGGAAAAGTGACGAGAGCACCTTCTGGCGTGATGGAAAGTTCTATTTTTTGATCTAGGTGGTAATCACACAGGTGAATACATTCACGTAAAAGTTCATCTGGCTCTGCGACTGGATAGTGGTGGTGGCTGCAATTAATTGCCACAATGAAATGCCACTGAGGGCACACTTAGAATGGTTAAAATAAGGTTGGGAGGGAGGGGATGGGGGATACACGTACGCGTATAGCTGATTCACTTTGTTATACAGCAGAAACCAACACACCATTGTAAAGCAATTATACTCCAATAAAGACGTTAAAAGAAAAAAAAATGGTTAAAATAGTGGATCTTATTGTGTTTTACTACAATAAAAAAAATCAAGCTCTCCACTTGAGAGTTGCACATTTTACTGCCTGTAAATTATACTTCAATTTAAAAATTAAAAATAATAATATAGAAAAAGCTCCATTGTGAGTAAGCAGGCTTTGGAGGACAGACCCAGGATACCACTGTTCCCATAGGAAAATTTTTCTCAGTTTCAGGCAAATGTTTTTCACCTCAGTTCTTTGGTAAATTGAGTCTACCTTTCCTGCCTCTTCCTGACTCTTGAGTAAAGACATCTGCAAACTGTGCGCTTAAGCAGTATAAGCAGACCAAATACTTCTCCCAGACCTTTGATTAAAATCCAAATTAGGTTCTGCTAGAAAGAAGGCCACCGATGTTCAAAATGAACTCGTTGCCTCTTCATTGCAATGTGTCGCCACCTGACTGTTTTTAGACACTTAACAATAACGCCAGAAGGAAAAGCACGAATGTTTCCAGTTCCATTTCTGGAAAATTTCAATGGGTGTCTGAGATGCCACAAATCTCTCTCCCCTCTCAAAACTCACCCAGACACTAAACAGACCGGGCCGAGGCAGGCGAAGTGCTCTCCCTGAACTTAGGCAGAAAAGCTTTGATGTGCCTGAGGTAACCCTGAAACACGGCTGCTGGCGAGTGACTTCACATCAGTCAGTAACAGTGAATGAGGTCTTGCGACAGTCACCAGGAGGCCCGTCTTCAGCGCATTTGTGAAGAACAAATCAGAAAGGCTTCCCAGTGGCAGGCCTGCCTTACCTTCCGTGCTCGTGTTACAGGCAATGCGGTCCCTGGGAGAGGAGTCCATGGGGAAAGGAGGGGTGCTGGAGGCTCCCAGGATGCAGCTTTTACTAGGAAGGATGGAGGGAAAGAGGAAGGAGAAAGAACGATTCTCAGGAAGCCCTGGGAGATGGCTGCAGTTGCTGGCTTGGGGTTGCAGAGTGAGGAAGAGAATTCAGCACCCACTGAGCTGGTACATTATTTAAGCTGCAACTGAATAATAGATCTTTCCATCACTTCATGAGCTAAACAAGACAGCCACTCTTTGGAAGTTGCTTTGCAGAGAGAATGCATTGGCTCTCTTCTCAAAAGAGAAAACAGAGAGAAAGAAAACACACACACAAGTTGTTGAAGGAGTGTGGAAGCACTTAAAGATGGCATGAACCAACAGAAATTACCTAGAATATTCTCTAGGCTTTATACCAAACACTCAGAATCTTAAGCACTGTAAAAGACTTCAGAGTTGATCAAATATAATTATTCATTTCCCTATAAAGAAACTGAGAACTAGAATTACACGCCTTAGCTCAAGTCACCAAGCTAATTCATAGAACAGCTTATACACCATTAAAGAAAGGGTCTGTATAAAATTCTACACCTTTTTTTTTCTTATGGACAAACTACCATCCACTCACTATATCAATGTCAGGAATCCACTTTTCTAAGTTCTCGATGTCTTCAATTCTTGCTAGTTTATGCAACAAGCCTTCTGATCAAGTCAGTACAATGTGGTCAACACTTAGTGCATGTGCTCAGTGCCCTGTCAGCTTCTGGGGTGACCAAGATGACTCAGACCAGGGAGGGGCTCACGGCTGACGGGAAATGACTGGCATGTGGCAGATGTGATAAGGGCTCGAATAAACACTGGCATGTGCACGCTAACCTGTCACAGGCCAGGAGGCAAATGATTCAGCCCGAGTGAAGAAGGGTAAGGGAGAAACTGGACTTCTAAAAATGAGCTCACCAGGAAGTTTCTTCTAAACTATTCATTCCTTTCAAAAGCAAAAATGACGAGTTTTTTGTTTTTTGTTTTTTTTAAAGATCGGGTTTTTTAAATTGTTACTTTTATTTATTTCTGGCTGCGTTGGGTCTTCGTTGCTGTGCGCAGGCTTTCTCTAGCTGCGGGGAGCGGGGGCTACTCTTCATTGCAATGCGTGAGCTTCTCATTGCGGTGGCTTCTCTTGTTGCGGAGCACGGGCTCTAGACGCGTGGGCTTCAGTAGTTATGGCTCGTGGGCTCTATAGTGCAGGCTCAGTAGTTACGGCGCACAGGCCTAGTTGCTCCACGGCATGTGGGATCTTCCCGGATCAGGGCTCGAACCCGTGTCCCCTGCATTGGCAGGTGGATTCTTAACCACTGCGCCACCAGGGAAGTCCGGACGAGCTTTGCTAATACTAACTCCTTCAAAGAATTTCATTCTGCTTTGCTAGATATGTTTGGCAACAGCCTTCCTAGGATTGAGAATGGGCTACTTGTCTCACACAGGTACATCACCCCTTCTCCCCGCCACCCAGGCTCTCAGGTGCTCCGGGCAAGAGGAGGCAGAGAAGGAACCCCACAGCCTAGGACTTGGAACACTTCCCTTATAAGAAATGGCTCTCAGCGAATGGAAACAAACAGCTACACTTGGAACATTATTTCCTCCTCCGAAGAACAAAGCTCCAAGAAGCTACAAGTCTTAGAAGAGAAGGTCAGTAAATCCTACTGATGACTAGAATGCATTATTTCCCTGGTTCACCTTCAACTAAGTGACAAAGTCTAGAGTATCTGCAGTGTCCTCTCATCTCTATCAAAGGTTTTTCTAACACATACAATGGCAAAGATACAACTGGATTCTAATCATTATCTATTAATTACAGCCTAATAACTCTTACCGACCAGCAAACTATCCCAATAATTCTCTCCCACAATGTATTACATATATTCTTTCTAAATGCCTCTGACTTGTCACTAACTATATTGTCACTAACTATAAATATATAGCTATATATTTAGTCCCTTGCTTATATCGGGTGTCAGATGAAGCATACTATAATTAGTTTTCAAAGATGATGTCATTTTCTCTTGTGAACATAATGTATATATTTCATATGGCTGAGTAAAGTCTACAATACAAATAATAATTATCATATTAACTCTGAAATCCATGTTTACATATGCATATGGGTAAAATTCAGTAAACATTTGTGTTCAAGGATGTGACATGAAGTCTTTGCCATAATTAATGGTATAATTTGAAATTCTGGGGTCAGTAGAGCTTCCTATGTAACACCCAACAAATATTTTACTCTCAAAGGATCTATCAAGGGTCTTTCACCACTACTACCGTTCCTGCCACCCTCCAAACTCTCCAACCCCTCAACACTCACACACAATGATGGGGAAAGAGAAACACAAATAGAACCTCTAATCTATGAATATTCTAATCAGGCTAAATATTTAGTTTGAAAGTAAAAATAAACATTCATTATTACAGAAATTTATACTGCTATGGTTTGCAACACACAATGGTGTATAAGTGACTAAGAAAAGCTGCATTATGTGTTTTTTTTTTTTTTTTTTTTTTTTTGCGGTACGCGGGCCTCTCACTGTTGTGGCCTCTCCCATTGCAGAGCACAGGCTCCGGACGCGCAGGCTCAGCGGCCATAGCTCACGGGCCCAGCCGCTCCGCGGCATGTGGGATCTTCCCGGACTGGGGCACGAACCCATGTCCCCTGAATCGGCAGGCGGACTCCCAACCACTGCGCCACCAGGGAAGCCCTGCATTATGTTTTTAAGGTTAAAGACCTGATTTAACTTTAACCATCTGGCAGGGGCACTAAACAAATATCTGTAGTGATTTTAAATGACTAAAGTTACTAATTGAAAGCCTAGGACTTCTCATAAAGAGTATGCACACACATACAATTAGGGATTCTGCTGACTGAAGCAAAGTGTTTTCTATTGTGGTTTTATTCACCTATCATGAACATGAACTTCAATTGCTCATTTCTCCAGGTCACGGCAGGGTTTCTTTTTTCCTACCTCAAGACTTCCAATTCCTACAACAATCCTTGTTAAAGCCTATTCTGCAGACCCAATAAAAGCTCCATTTTTAGAGTTAGATGCATTACATGTGAGGCTGCCTGGGTCTCTGTATTCTTAGGCACTGACGGATGGTGACTGAGATACGCTTGGTAACAGAGTGATGTCCCCCAGGAGTGCCAAAGCATTTCCCCCTTTTCACTCTATTCTACCACAAATGTCACACCAACAGACCTTAAAATTGCAGAATGGCTTGCGGGAAGCAAAGAAAGAAATGAGACTTAGGGAAGACATTAAATAGCTTCACGAATACACTGTCTGCAGCAACAGAAAAGAGAACTGGGTGGACAAGAGCAAGATGCACATATTAAGACACAAAGTCCATCAAATTCAACTTTCCTGGCTTTTCTGGGCCATTCTGTGTCCGACTTTCCTTAAGGTGTGGTTGAGGTACACCTAGCTCTCCATACCTAAGCGTCACGCTCGTATTTTAAGAGTATTTTCCAAATCTCAGATTTCAAGGGCTGTCTTCACAGTTTTGGCCTTATTCTCATACCACTCATCCTGATAATTTACTATTTTTCTTAAGTCGAACTCACCGTTTTATTTCATACTTATTTTTGCCTCATTCTAAGCAATCTATCCATGAAATAAATGAGTTTGGTGACCGGCTTTATGTTTTTTAGTCCTGAACTACAAGGGTCATGCACAGTAATTAAAGAATGGGCTACGTCCCTCCCTGTGCCACCTGTAAATCTGTCTGCACAGCACACTTTGGAAACAACACTGTTTTGAAGGCAGCAAATAAGGCAGAGAAAATGTTTAATTTAATAGGCATTTTTTCAATATGACAGTCCTGAGTCTCCCTTTTGAGTTCACAGGTTATCGAGACTGACACAGCTTTGGATGATGGAGGCGCGAGCCCCCTTAAAAAACCCGAATGAAACAGTCACCGTCATGGGAAGGCCCATGCAGGCCTGCCCAGGCTCTAGCAGTCAGATGCTAAGTTCCAAGAAGGGCATTTTCTAATCAAGCTGCAAAAGCGGAAGCAGGTACTTTCCAACTCAGAACTCTCTTCCTCACACGGCGCCATAGGCAGTGTACAAAGTTAATCGACTGCTTTCCTAGGTAACCTTCAAACCTGGAACTAGCTATTGCCAATACCGGATGTTAGGACTGAGTGCCTGATAACTTTTCTCCATTGCTGTTATACAGGTTTTGCAAAGTTTTTAATGGGAATGCCACCTCAGACCCTCATAAATTTGCTAGCTATATGAGCTTTCTCTCACAAGGGTCGTCATAAAAATTCTTGTGGGGACGAAGTAGGTTCTAAATCGTTTTAGGGAACGTTTCTTTTTTAACCTTAAAAAAGCCCATGTAGGGATTTCCCTGGTGGCACAGTGGTTAAGAATCCACCTGCCAATGCAGGGGACACAGGTTCGAGCCCTCATCCGGGAGGATCCCACATGCCGCGAAGCAAGTAAGCCCGTACACCACAACTATTGAGCCTCTGCTCTAGAGCCCACATGCCGCAACTACTGAGCCTGCGCACCACAACTACTGAAGTCCACGTGCCTAGAGCCTGTGCTCTGCAACAAGAGAAGCCACCACGATGAGAAGTCCATGCAGCCCAGTGAAGAATAGCCCCCGCTCACCACAACTAGAGAAAGCCCATGCGTAGCAACAAAGATCCAACACAGCCAAAAATAAATAAATGAATAAATTAAAAAAAAAAAAAGTCCATGTAAAACATCAAAGTTTTTAACCCACTAAATAGGTGTTGAATCTGACTTCTGTCTGACTGTATGTTTCTGACCCTGCCCCTTGGATTTAGGATGAAGAAACAACTCAGTAAAACACATGAGATAATCATTCTGCCGCACCCACCCAATTTTCAATGGAAAATGCCTCTCAATACCAAGGCTGGCTGGTCCAAGGCCATTCCAGCCAGCACTTGTTGGCCCCCATTACTGCTTAGAGTCTGACCAATGAGGCATTTGATAGGGTGTCAGCTCTCAACCTCGATAAACTAATCTGCAGCCACAGCTCCTCAATGGGATTTGTTTTAGGGATTAGGCAAGGAATTCCCGGATGGCTCATATTCTTGGTAGAGGTATGTTGAAAGTTTCAGCATGATTACTAACCCTTCCTGAATCTTCACCCCACCAGCCCCTCCCACACCTCATGCCACACCCCAGCCAAATCTGCATAACTTTTAACTACGGAACATATGACAGTACACAGGACTACAGTGGCCCCGCCTAGTTTCAAAAACTTTTCTGTCTCCTAAAAAGAAAGCCTTCAGAAGAGAAAACCTTGCTAAGCTCAAAAGTCACTGTAGGGGGATTCCCTGGTGGTGCAGTGGTTGGGAGTCTGCCTGCCGATGCAGGGGACACGGGTTCATGCCCTGGTCCGGGAGGATCCCACATGCCGCGGAGTGGCTGGGCCCGTGAGCCATGGCCGCTGAGCCTGCGCATCCGGAGCCTGTGCTCCGCAACGGGAGAGGCCACAACAGTGAGAGGCCCATGTACCGCAAAAAAAAAAAAAAAAAAAAGTCACTGGAGGGATTTTATCATTTCCCTCGAATTCCCAGGCACTTCTCCAGCATAAGAGCAATGTCTGGCTGTGACCTTTTGTCAATGTACAAAGAATCAGATTAAAAGTTAAACAAATGTAGGCAGAAACCCTTGCAAATGGAATTCCCCAGGGGGTGATGCTAAAAAATTTTGGGTCTTATGCATATGAGAGCCCCCAAAAGAGTAATATTCCCTGTGTAGGGTGTGGGGGGTAGCCCTGTTTACTGGGAAACTGGTTCACTTCTTTATAGGAAAAGTCAAGTCATTAATACATTAGGGATTTCTGGGACTTTTTCTTTTTCTTAAAGTTCTCTTCCTGGCATTTAAAGCCTTTCAAGAGAGTGTGCGCATCTCTTGCTCTTTCCCTCAGCAACTGCCCTAACATACCTGGTACCTCCTTTTTGTGCTTAGTAACCCAGAGCCCAGCACTTAAGAGTTTTCAGCACCTGTTTTGGTTCTTATTACAGTTGGCCCTCCATATGCAAGGATTCAACCAACTGTGGATCAAAAATATACAGTGGAGGAAAAAAATTCCAGAAAGTTCCTAAAAGCAAAACTTGAATTGGCCACACACCGGCAACTATTTACACAGCATTTACATTGTATTTACAACTATTTCTATAATATTTCCATTGTATCCGGTACTGTAAGTAACCTAGAGAGGATTTAAAGTGTACAAGAGGATGCCCTTAGGTTATAGGAAAATACTACACCATTTTATATAAAGGGCTTTGAGCATCCTTGGATTTTGGTATCCGAGGGGGGTCCCAGAACCATTCTCCCCCCCATCCCAGGATACTGAGGGATGACTACTAGCTACTGTCTACTTAGCATCCACTAGCCAGGCACCCTATGTCATTTCACTCAGTCCTCGTCTTATGAGATGTGTTATTAGCCCCATTTTCTAGACTGGCTTACCCTGTAAGGTATCTGTTCAAAGGCAAACTTTCTTCCCAAAAAGAAACCCTGAAGGGAGTGTGCATGGAACAAACCCACACTTTGTTGCATTTCTGTATTGCAGAGTGTGCATCTGTATCGCATACTCCCTCCGTAAGCCGCAGGTATCCCAGCAGAGAGAGTTTGCAGAGTCTTAAAAAACATCTAAACTTTTCAGATCGAACAGACTCTTGACAGCAGAAGTTGAGTCTTGCTTATCTTGTACCCCACCTGCTCACAGTGGACCGGCACAAGTGGGTGCTCATTAAGTTATCAGCTGTGTGGTCCTGAAAAAGCTGCAGCAGCAACTCAGGGGGAAAACAATCTCCCTTCATCAATCTGACAGCAGCTCTGAAAAAGCTCAAAAAACACCTCAAAAGCCACTGTTGACTTACTAAAGCACCCTCCTTCTCTAGTCTCCCCGGAGAGGGGAAACTACAGCATCCCGTTCATGCTTCTAATTGGAATGCATCAGAGTCTTAATTATTTGCATTCTTCCCCAACAAGACGGTGTGGTAGAGGCACACTCTTAACATTTGTATTCCCCACACTGAAGTGAAGTTGTTCATGAAAATTTATTGAATAACCATATTTCATTCTCTCAGGCAAGATATTAAATGGCACTTTGCCACAAATGCAATCACTACTAGTAACTCCTCACTTAAAATGAAAATGGTCCACTTCCAAGGTTTGCATGTAGACTGTGTCTCCCAGGAATAATCCTGACACAGGTGGACCTGTTCTCCCAAGGTGACTGTCAGCGCACCCAGCTCAGACCACCTAGAGATCTGAGGAAAAGGGCCTCTTCTCTGCTGAGATTCCCCTAGCTGAGGGAGGGAGGGAGGGGGGAGGGAGGAGGGAGGAGGGAGGGGGGGAGGGAGGGCAATTTCTAGGATGGGATGAGTCTACGCTGGGAACTGCAGGGAAACCACAACCATTACTCAGGCCAGACAGCTGCCAAGGAAGCAGCGCTGCCTAAGAACTGAAGCTAAAATAGAGGTGGGAGGTTGTATTCCTTTCCATTACTAAGCCCTGGAGTATTCCCTCCCAAGTTCATCCACATTTCAAGAATGTTAAAACCCTGCAGTCAAAACCCTGATTATTTATAACTTAAAATAAACTACTGTGTAAAGCAGAAACTCTACAAATGAAGACACAAAAGAAAAGGAACTGGTGACAGGTAAGATAATACCAGAGTACATATCCATTCCCTATTGCAAATAACTTTTACTTATATTGCAGAGGCAACTGATTAAAAGGGAAAGAGAGGATTCTGGTCTCCAGAGACTTGTCAGTTTGTCTCACGCACACACGCCTGTAATTTTGCATCAAGTAGAGAGTGCGGTTTGAAACCGAGAAGGAAAACACAAAGGCATAGGGCAGGCGACACAACAGGAACAACGAGATGCCTCCGAAGTAGCACCGATCCAAGACAGAGTTCAAGACAGTCTTCCCTACTTCCGACTTAACCTGAAATCCAAGTGACTTTAGAGAACAGAGAAAAGGGTCCAGGAGCCCTGGAGGCCACGAGCCACCACCCCTTTCCGGTGAAACCTAGTCCCTGCCCTCAACCCCACCTCCGGATGGGAGAATCCCATCTAATGGGATCTGGGAAGCCCACCACGCGCTCCCATGCCCCGTCCTCGCGACCCTTCTCCCAACCAAGCGGGACGCAAGAGGGCACTTACTTGGAGCCAACCTGACATCTCCCGCCGGGGTGGAAACCCGCGGTCTCCTCGCACCGGCATCTTCAGGCGCGGGTCCCGCGTGGGCGCGCAGGTCCAGGACCCGGCTCCACCTCCTCCTTCTCCTCTGGGCGGCAGGTCAGTCCTCCGACCCGCAGCCGGGTTTTAGCCAGGTGCCGGCCCGCGGGAACCCACCCCTTTGTCCCTCCCCACTCGTCGCGGCGTCGGCCCGCCCCCGGCCCGAGGCAGCGCCTCTGCGCCCTCCGCCTGGCCCGGGAAACTCTCAAACGGGCCGCTACCACCCCCGCGCGACCCGGGGGAGGGTTCGCCGGCGCCGCACCCTCGAGGGGCCCGCAGAGGGCCGTGTCACGCGCGACTCCCGGCCGGGGACGAAGGAGGGCGGCAGCAGCAGGGGGATCCTGAGGACAGAGCGTCCCGCGGCCCCGACACCTAACCCCCCCACCGGCGGACCTGATGGTTCGCTCCGCGGCGAGCTCTGCGAGCAGCAGGTCCGGCTCCGGGCGCCCGCCGGGGGAGCGCTGCAAGTTTGCGTGTAGCAGCGAGCCCTGGGCGGCCTGTTTGTCCACGGGTTCTTCCCTCAAGGTCGCGTGCGCATCCTGTACGAACCCTTTCTGGAGAGAGGTTTGCAGAAACCGAAAAGTTTTTTCTGTCCTGCCTAGAGGACACACACACACACACACACACACACACACACACTGTACCCCTACGTTTAAAACACGACTTTTGAGAAAAATACACTCCAGGTTATCTCTTTGGCACATTTCCAATAACTCCAGTAAAGCGATTAAAACTCCTCTCCCATCACCAGCTTTTCAAAGGCTTTCTTTAAAAAAGTAGGTCACAAATGCTTATCAGGCAGGATTCATCGAATTCAACTCGGTACATTTATTCGTTTTAGAGTCCTCTATGTATAAAGAATTGTGCACGATAAATAAACGTTTCCTTATTTTAAGGGCATGTAAATTATTTGGAGAATCAAAACAGGTACACTGATTAAAAATATAATGGTGGATTTGAAATCTTAAGGAAACCATGTTGTAAGAGAAAAAAGTATGGCCCATCCTGCTCTTAAGTTGAAAAGCGAAACTCGGCCTACACTCACAAGAAGGTAAAAGGTAAAAGGTCTGATCTGACCAGCTGAC